AATATGGCTCTTCTAGCCATGGTCTTTGTGACTCCCACCAAATGACTGGGTGGAACTATGTAAATGTGAGGTGTTTGTGGACCACGAAGGGGAATGGACAGCTTGACAATAATCTAAATAAGGTACATGGCACCCTTGTGGGGGTGGGGTCATGGAAATAAGGTGTATGGAACCCTAATGTGGGGATGGGTCACTTTTGCCATTCTAACTAGGCTTAAAATGAGCCATCCAAGAGGCGGAAACGGGGAGCTCACTACCATCAAGAAAGAAGACCCAGGAGTAGTGTGCATCCTTTGGATCCAAGATCCCTGAACTGAGACGACAGAGAGATGACAGACAGTGGCAGCAGAGGCAGCAGAGGCAGCAGAACCAACAGAAACAAGATACTGGCATGCTCTGTTGAGCAGCAGGCTTCTTGGCCCACAGAGCAAGAAAGCTAAACGCCTTCAGGCAGGATTCTTGTTGGTAGAGTGGCATGCCTCTCTGGGCACCTACTGGCAGAGCTAAAAGAGCTTGGTAACACTAACCCAAGTAGGACAGAGGCCAAGGCCAGAGAGAAGCATGCCTGTGGCACGGCCAAGGCCAGAGAGAAGCATGCCTGTGGCACGGCTGAGATGCAGCTGTCCTGATTGATGAACTGTATCCGGAGTTGTTTCTGATCCTGAATTGTTACCTGTTACTTCCCTAGTAAACCCCATAAACTTGAGTATTATACATGAGTTCAGTGTGGCCACTGAAATGAATTAGCAAAACTAGCAGAGAAGTAGTGATTGTTGTGGGAGGAATAGTTGGTGTCAGAATTGGTAAGGTTAGAGGGTGGTGGCATGTTTGACCTCAGTCACACAGGAATCAGCCTTGGGCTGTTGATGTTGATGGTGATCCTTTCTCCCCCTTGTGAGATAAGTGGAGGTCAGATGACGCTATCGACGCGGCCTTTTTGCAGATGGCATGTTAAGATGCATCTACATGCCAAGCAACTCCTGGGGCTACCAGAAGCTGGGAGAGACAAGAAAGGATCTTCTCTTTGAAACTTCAGAAGGCATATAGCCAGGTTGTTGTTGTCATGTGCCGTCGAGTCGGCCCCGACTCATAGCGACCCCTCCTTGGGTTTCCGAGGCAGTATCACTACGGAAGTAGGATTGCCCAACCTTCCTTCCGAGGAGTGGCTGGTGGGTTTGAACCGCCAGCCTTCTGGTTAGCAGTCAAGTGCTTTAGCCACTATGCTATACAGCCAGGTAGACATGTTAATTTGGACTGTTAGCCTCCAGAACTGTGAGGCAATAAATTTCTAACCTTGTAAATCATCCAGTTCATACCACTTGGTTTCAGCTGTCTTAGCACACTAATACAATCCAAAACCAAAACCTGTCAAGTCAGAAGCAGACTACCACATCTCTCTCCGGTGGAGCAGCTGGTGGGTTCACACTCTTGACCTTTCAGATAACAGCCCAGTGCATTTAACCACTGCACCACCAGAGCTGCCTCACCTTTTCCTGAATTCCTTTCCCACGACCTCCTAGTATTTCCTGCACTTAGCAAATACTCAAACTTTTGTCCCCAGGTGTATTTCTGGTAGAACTGAGGGTAAAATTTCACTCTACCACTTATTTATCAGCCTCCTCACTCATTCCCTGGCTGTCACTGGATTCATCTTCTCTCTCCCTATACACACCAACTTGAGACCTTGAGGCAGGAGGATGTCCCATTTGGCAGTTCATACTTACTCTCGTTGTGGCTGCTGGGGGTGAAGTGGTCCACAAGGTAGCTGAAGAAATCATGGAGCTGCAGAAGAACCCAAGAAGACTTGGCTTTAGAGATGAGCAAAAAGAGAACCAGGAGTGGTCCAGGTCAGCTGTACCTCTGGGCCCCTGGGCCTTGCGGCCAGGAGCTGGAAGGTAGAGCTGGAGGTGTCTCTGTCCCATATCCCACCGCACCTTGACCTGATCTTGCTGCCCAGCATACTCTATGGACTGGAAGATGCTCCAGGTGCAACGCCGCCTCATCTCCAGGCGTGCCATGTAGCGCCGGTACCACCTCTGGATCAGGGCCGCCGCCTTGAAGGCTGTTTAATGGATGGAGAAGCAAGCCTGTGAGCTGAGCCACCCTAAGCCTGGGGGGGAGGACAGAGGAAGGTGCCAGATCCTCTCTCACTGTACATTTCTAATTGAAGTTCAAGTACACACATATGGGGACAAAATGGGCAGGAAGTACGATCCATGGTTGCCATTAGGAAGTATTTGCCTTATCACTGCCACAGTGCTTTTTCCCCATCCATACCCCTCACTCCACCTCCATTCTTGCCTGTCGTTTTACAACATCACTGGAGATTTCTTGGAATCCTCACTTACTGAAGAAAACATGAGTATGTATTTAGATGGAAGAGTCAGACTGCCAGGATTCTGAGATGTGAACACCTCAGAGATAAATTGCAAGGATACATCAGAGTTGAAGAGTAGGATAAAACAGGGGAGAGGGGGACATTTTGATATTGTGACAATACACTAGGTGTCAGGAGACCCAGGTTCTAGGCCTAGAACTGTCCTCACCAGCTATGCGGCTGCAGGCAAGTCACCTTGTCTGGCCTTAATGTCCTCATTTGAAAAGGAGGCTGTATCAGATGATGACTAGAGAAAGCAAACAATACACAAATACATAAATGAATATGTAATATAATGTCAGGTGGTAATAGGTGCTTACTGGGTCCTGTTCTTGTTATCCCCAGGTTCTCTGATATCCCTGTGGGCTTAAAAGCTTCCCTATTATGTTGTTATGTTGTTAAGTGCCCTTGAGTCTGTTGCCATTCATAGTGACCCTATGTATAATAGAACAAAACATTGCTCAGTCCTGTGCCATCCTCCCAACAGTAAGAGTGTTTGAGCCCATTGCTGCAGCTGCTGTGTCAATCCATCCTATTGAAGGTCTTCCTCTTTTCACTGACCTACTGCACCAAGCATGATGCTCTTCTCCAAGCATTGGTCCCACCCGACCACATGCCCAAAGTAAGTGAGACAAAGTCTCGCCATCTTTGATTCTGTGGAACATTCTGGCTACACTTCCTCCCAGACAGATTTGTTCATTCTTCTGGCAGTCCACCTGCACATCTCCATCATACTATGTCCATAACTGTGCTAAGAGTATCTAGTCTGTGTCAGTCTTTGAGTGCCTCTTTTTGCCAGGACATGTGTTAGGTGAAGGACCTGGGTGGCATAAATAGTTTGTGTTTGACTACTAACCTAAAAGTTGGCAGTTCAAACTCACCCAGTGGTACTACAAAGGAAAGGCCTGGAAATCTGCTTCTGTTAAGATTACAGGCAAGAAATTCCTATGAAACAATTCTACTTTGTAATACATGGAGTCACTGTGAGTCAGAATCAGCTCAGTGGCAACAGGTTCGGTTTGGTTTAGTGTTAGCTGAATGTGCACCACAGGCTGGGGGTGAAAGGGATTTATTTTTCAGGTTTAATCCTTCATACAAGGTTTAAGATCTCTGGTCAGGTGTTGTTGCCAGAGAAGGAGACAGCTGACTACATAAATAACTAGAGTCTTCTTAAGCTTCATGGCCTAGATATGCTGCTTGAATGAATGGAGTATTTGGGGATAAAGCTGGATTACAAAGGGAAATCCTATGGGTTCAAACAGGTCAACATCATGAACAGTAGACAGATTGATTTAATGTATTTAGTTTGCATTAGAGAGCTAATATAATTCTTGCTGATTTCCCTAAGAGGAAAAACAATAGTGGAGTGGGAAAAGAAAACCTGGAAGGAATTTGGGCAAAGCTAAATTTTATTTCTTATGAGGAAAAAGTTTCATACTATAAGTATTTTTCAAAGGTACTCATTTAAATAATAAATGATGAAGCTGAAGTTCTACTGATAGATTCTGGAAAATCATGTTCAGAACAGTGAATGAAATGCCCAGGATAAGTGCTATAGATTCTTCAGGAACTCACGGTTAACACAGAGGTCTAGACTTCAGCCTAGACTTGCCGCATCAGAATCTCTTTAGAACAGTTTAGCAAGCTCCAGGCATGCTTGCTACTTATGTTAAAGTTTTAAGAACTATTGAGGAAGACTGTGGACATCAAGTTTAGGTGAAAATGTTGTTGTCTGCAAACACCTTGCCTTAAGTGTCTTAAGGAAATTGCTACCAACACAAAATATACTTATATCCTCAGTTCTGCTTTGGCAACTTAGGGCAACAGGAGCAGGCAATGCTTCTTTCTCCTTGTTTTCTTCCTCCCAGACCTCTCTATCTGGGACCTGGGATAGCTTTAGTTGAGGTGGAACAGAACCATTTAAGATCCTCTGGTAGCATAGTGGCTAAGGCACTTGACTGCTCACCAGAAGGCTGGCGGTTCAAACCCACCAGCCACTCCTCGGAAGGAAGGTTGGGCAATCCTACTTCCGTAGTGATACTGCCTCGGAAACCCAAGGAGGGGTCGCTATGAGTCGGGGCCGACTCGACAGCAAATAACAACAACAACAACAACAACCCTTTTATCTAGGAGCCCTGGTGGTGCATGGCTGCTACCCAAAAGGTTGGTGGTTCGAACCTACCAACTGGTCTGTTGGGGAAAGACCTGGCAGTCTGCTTCTGTAAAGATTATAGTCAAAAACCCCTCTGGAGCAGTTCTACTCTATAACATAGGAGGTTGCTATGAGGTAGAATTGACTCGATGGCACCTAAAAACAACACCCCTTCATCCTACGACCAGTTTGTTAATTGATCGTGCTATGGTGGCTTGTGTGTTGGTGTGATGCATGGAAGTTATGCTACTGGTATTTCACATACCCATGGCAGGCAGGTTTCAGCAGAGCTACCAGACTAAGACAGAGTAAGAAGAAAGGCCTGGCAATCTTCTTCTGAAAATCAGCCAATGAAATTCTTAATGATCACAATACTGTCCAATATAGTGCATAGTATACTTGACTGCTAAGCAGAAGGCTGGCAGTTCAAAGCCACCAGCCACTCCACAGAAGTAAGACTGGGCAATCTACTTCCATAGAGATACTGCCTCAGAAACCCAAGGAGGGGTCACTATGAGTCTGGATTGACTCAATGGCAGTGAGTTTTTTTTTTTTAAATAGTGCCGGAAGATGGTTCCCTAGGTTGGAAGGCACTCAAAATACACAGTGGGCATGACAATAGACTGAAGATAGCACATGACTGGACAATGTTTCGTTCTGTTGTACCTGGGGTTGCCACCAATTCAACAGCAATTGATAACAACACCAACCCCTTTATCCCTTCCCGACAGCATAATGCAAAATGCAAAATGAATTAGACTAAATCCTAGAATGCAGGTTAAAAAATACACCTGGCTATTAATATTCCATGTTTAAGAACACTGTCAGACAATTATGAACCAAGGCAATGCAGCATTTATTAAATCAAAGCACAGTGGAACTGAGAGATTATTCAAGAGAAATATAACAGAGGTTTTTTTCTTTTTCTTTTTTTTTTATGGTTACCCTCTTATTTTCATTACCTGTGTAAAGAATGCTTATCTCTCTACACCACCACTGGTTGAAAAAGAAAAATAATACCTCTATTAAGAAGTACCTTTCTCTAAGGGAAAAACTTGATAATAGTTGAACGATAAATACATAATGAATTATGACAACCCTTTAGAAATGGCATGCTTAAGAAGTCTGGTGATTCAATAGTTAAGTACTTACCTGCTAACCAAAACATTTGCAGTTTGAACTGACCAACTGCTCTGTAGGAGAAAAGACCTAGTGATCTGCTCCCATAAAGATTGTTATTGTTGTGTATCCTAAAGACTATAGCCTAGGAAAACCTATGGGACATTTCTACTCTGTCATAAATGGTCACTATGAGTCAGAATTGACTCATTGGCACACAGCAACAACATGTAGGAATCCCTCCCACCCTAATATGTAAGAAATGCAGTGTAAAATAGTTTAAAAAAAAAAAAACAAACAGATAGCTGAACTCAAAAACATTAAAGGGAAATCTCCACATGCCAGAAATGAAGACAGAGCCAAGACAGAACCCACAGCTAAAGCTAACAGCAAGGCATTGAAGACAGGCAGCCCAGTGAACCAGGACCAGACACCTTCCTTAGCAGCCAGGGTTTAACACATATATAAGGATGGCAGTGGAGCCCTCAGGCTCTACGTACAGGCAAAACCAACAACCTGTTGCTGTTGAGTCGATTCTAATTTATAGCAACCCTATAGGACAGAACAGAACTGGCCCATAGCATTTCCAAGGCTATAATCTTTTGTGTGTGTGTGATTTGGGTGAAAATTTACAGAGCAAATT